AATCTTACAGTGACCCCCCCCCCAAAAAAAAAAAAAAAAAAAAAATATATATATATATATATATATATATATATATATATATATATATATATATATATATATATATATATATATATATATATATATATATATATATATATATAAACTTTGGCAACCTTTATTCCCTAAGGTGGTATGTGGCTGAATTTCTACTTCACTGCAGTAAAAAAAAAACAAAAAAAAAAAACAGGTGTTTTGTATTGGCCTGTAGAAAAATGCACATACCAAATGGCTTACAATGGGACTGTGGATGAGATGACTGCGCGGACGCATCCCCGCAGCATTGGCATGTTGCTCCACAGGCGCAGAGGTCGGGGTTCTCCGGTAGGGCGTCAGGGCGACATAGCATTTAGAACGTCGGACAGCACTTCTGAAAAACGAGATTGGGAGATCCCAGATGCAAAAAAGTGCAATGTTGCAAGGAGTTTTGTGATATCTGGTATTGCGTGGGTCCTCCTTGTGGCTGGCTCCAAATCCATTCGGAGTTCCCCCAACAGCTCCAAAATGGCAATGCTGGATAAACGATATGTTTTGATGATCGTTTCCTCGTTCATTCCAAAAATATTCACACAGAGTGAAAAAATTCGTTCCCTGCGTCTCCTTGCTTAATTTCCATGTCTCCTTGCGACAATAACCGCTGCCATGTGTGCGCAATTACGCATACAGACCATTTGCACCTTCTTTTGAAACGTGTTAAATATAGAGTCAGATACCGTTAGCAAAATTGCTTTCAGGTTTAATAAATCACTTTGCGAGTGCTAAATTAATATATTTACATGTTCTCCTCCCACAAGACGCACTTTTGCATCTAAACGCCCCATATTGCATATTCATTGCAAAAAAAGTACTAAATGGATAAGAGGTGCTATTTAGCACGTTTTAAAGACCAAATCCTTTTAGCACGCTGTTGATAGATCAGTTTGTAAATTTTTTAGCGTGCGCAGTGAAATAGCTCACGTTTTATTACACGCAAACCTTTGATAGATCCGGCCCACAGTGAACTATTGTTTCGGGGCAAAGGGAATATTGCAACCTTCAATTTAAATAATTTCATTACAGTTACGCTTCTATTTTAGATCTGTCGCCCGCTGAAAAGTTAACCTTCACTCCATTTTTAAGTCTTTTGCAGCCTCTTAATGTTGTACCTTGATATGGCTGTATGGAACACTCAGCTAGTCATGCTGCAGTTGGAAAGTTGCCCCTGCGTCTCAGATTCCTGATGATTTTTGGCTGTTCCTGCCAGAGAGGCTGCTGTCCCATTAAGTTACTCCCTTATCACTAGTATAATGTCATAAAACAAAATTGTTGAACAGCCTTCATCTAACTACTAACTGATAAGAATTTGAAAGCATAACAAAAATAAACTACATCAAAACCTGTTGTTTTGTTTGACTCATGTAAACTCTACTTATTATGGAAGTCCAGATTTCCCCACAAACATTTTGATGGCTGTCACAGTTCGCTCGTTCTCCTGCTGCCGTCTTCCTCCCACATGCAGCCGCTTCTTCGGATAATGCTATTTAAGTGGATACTCAACCATAACCACAAGCAAACATCTGTGTTAACTTACATGTTTTTTAGCATCTGCCTGAAGGGCCTGTCCCTTTTTTATATATATTTTTTTCATTGCCTTCTTTTCATTTCTTTCTCATTTCCAGGATCATTTGGTCCAAATTTTAGCAACACATTAATAAACAAATTTTATGCAATTTAATATACACCAATATATACAGAAACATTTAATATATAAATGTTGTATAGAAAAATATCATATAGTCTTGTCTTCTTTTGCTGAAAAGAGCTTTCTCCTAGCCCAGAAAAGGTATCTTCACACTCATGTGTGAGTCAGAGATGGCCTTTATAGAGCATGTCGTGGAGGGGGAGCTGTTTTAAGGAGAGCTCTAGAGCATCACATTTCTTCAGGGATAGAAATGACCCTTTCGTCCTCCCTGACACATATCTGCATGATCATTACCAATTTCTAGAGAAGGGTTAATTAAGTTGAGTACGTAAATTGAACCTCAGCTCTCCCTCAGAAGAGCTCAAATCATACACTGGTTCCCAAACATTCTTGTTAGGCCTCACTTCATTGTCAGTGGTGGTGTAAAGTCAACCCCCAATCTATGTTATATTGCTTTTTTTTCAGCTGCAACATGAATAGTTGTTTGATCCTGAAAATCTGGCCCAGATTTCAGATGCCTGAATCTTTTTGTCACCTTGTTGAAATAAAAATAGCATAATCAATCAGAGCTTACCATCTTAAATTAGGTTTTTGTACTATGTTTTCACCTGTTGCCAGGTGTGTTTTTCTTACTGCTGGTGTTACTACTACAAAAATTAAATGTGGGAAAAGAAAGTGTTAATTTCTTGGATTGTTATATTTTGTCTTTTTCTTTTTATCCAAACAAGATTCTTACTAACAACAATCTGACTAAATCTTAATTAAAATCAGTTTGTAGGACTAAAACTATAAACAGAATCTTCAAATTAAGATTCTAAACTTCAAATAGAATCTTAAAAATTATTGACACTGTTTAAATTAAAAAAAGCTGACAATGTACATACACATAAGAAATGGCTTTCCATACCCTTTCCCTGGATTTATTGATGGCATCAGCATATACCTTTTATCTTACATTTCAAAGCTTTCTACCAGTCAATTATGGTGCAAATTTAAGCTTTACCATGTTCAATCAATTAAGTATATGATCCACTACAGGTGTCCTTATGTGTCCTGCAACACTGATTAGTTGAACGTGCCTTGCATTAGAGATATTAAACAAGCAACCACTCTGTTGCTGGGCCACACAGATATGAAATAAATATTTACGTTGGTGGAATATTGCACATTAATTGATCCGGAATGGAGGATTAAGAAATAGTGTTTCAAAACCCACTTAAGACACCCACTACCAGAGGGAGAGCTTCAAAAGGCATCTTGGATTCCCTGCAGATCAGTCAGATATAAAGACTTTTACAACCCCCATCTCTCTCTTTTCTCTTGGACAGCTTCTAATGCAGCCATGTAGATGATAAATACAGTATCTGAATATCTGTGGGCAGGACTACCTTATTCTTTAAAACATTTTGGAGCCACTTTTCATATATCTTTCAAAACTACCAAAACTGAATTGTGGATCTGGTTGGATGGTCTCTCAATACAATTAATCAACTTTTTCCAAAGGGTAGACAGGGTAAGGGAAAACCCTCCTTTCCAGACAGGAAGATTTTCTCCGGATAGACTATGGATTTCCAGCAGAAATGGAAGATTGTATCACTGACAAAGATGTCATTCAATTATGTAGAAGATGCATACAAAGCTGGATTTTTGACAACAAGATTTCTGCTGTTTGGAGTTGGTGGAAAATGTCGGCAGCACTTTTGGCCATCGTGAAGCTGGCCGGCATGTATGAGGGGATCTGCAAAAAAATCAACACTCGGAGACTGAGATGTTAAGGTAGAAGAATTGTAAGATGGATGTAGGCTAATCCTTGCACAGGATTGGAGGCTGGCTGCGATCCCTGCACTCAGAGGTGAAATGGAATAATCTAGGAGAAAGGTGTAAGCTCAGATTTGACAGAATGGAGCAAAAACTCTCAAGGTTTGCAGACAAATCAGTTCAGCAATTCATTTAAAGGGTGGAGTGGGAGTAAAAAAACATGTTGGGTTCATAGAGGGGATTTTCCTGGGCGTTGCAGGGGAGTCGGCTGCCATACGGCTGGCGCTTGACTGGAAAGGTCTATTTTGAATGGCTGCTACTTTATAAGGTCAGTGCCTTTCAGGGCAGCAGGGCCACAGTCACCACACACAAATTATGTAGCTAAATGATATTCATTTAATTAAAGTATTTTACCAATGTTAAACCTCTTGGATTTTCATTTTAAGTTGGTTTAAAAGCATTCAAATTGCTATAAATTAGTTTTCAAAGCTAATTTGATTTTATTCCAAAAATATCAAGTTTTACCTTAATTCATAAACACAAAATCTAACTGAAAGCCTAGATGTTATGCCTTAGCTAAAATCTTGTATTTTTTAGTATGTCGAATATCTATGCATAGTATATAAATGCAGTGTCCTTTTAAAATAAATCAATACATAATCACAGTTTTAACTGATATTTGTTTGACTTAGGGTTCAAATGTTTTGCCAAATTATTGTGTTGATAAATTCTTAAAGGTTTAACGTAAGTTTTTGATGTATTCCATACAGTATGTGCATAGTTGACTGTTTGATCATGATTTGAGCTTGAATCCTGCATGTATCTGTTGTCCTAACACACATATATGGGAGTGTTCACAGAACAGCATATGACAGTCTGAAACTTATTTGATTGAATATCAAATAAAATAGAGGCATAAAATTGAACAACGCTATATTGTGGTGTGCTGTGGGTCTGCATTGAATATAACACTGTAAGCATAAAATTGTATGGCTTCATGCTTGTAATTTTTCCTTAAGGGCCAAATTTATTGACCCAAAAGATATTAGTTGTCCTTTTGACTGAGTTTCCACTGAAGTTTTCTGATTTGTGTTCTCTTTGTCAGAACAAGGTTTAGGTGGACAGCAGTGCCTCAGTCAACAGCTGTTGAATACTCAATTTTAAGCAGATGGGTTGCGATATCCAAAACTGATTTTTGAGATACCCAAACTGTTCAGATATGATTAAATAACCTAACGCAGAGACTCCCAAAGTCAAGATTTTGAGATTTGATTTTAAGTAAAGTTCCACTGATTTCAATGTTGAATTATTTTAGACAATACGATAAACAGACTTATGGAAAACAAACTGTAAAGGTTCTAGATGTGTAATTTAAGGGAAATTGTAGTTTATTGCAATGTGTACTTTAAAGCAGTTAATTTTTCTGTCTTTAATTGTTAAAAAAGGTTGGGGGGGCAGTACTTTGTGTTAATGCACTAAAGGGTAAACAAAGTAGGTTACAAGTTTAAAAGAAGAGTCAAAATTTTTTCACACATATGTTTTATTTGTCAAACTCAAAGATTGTGTCTTTGAAGCAAGATTTTTTTTTTTTTTTTACTGTACAGAGTCTCCCTCTCATCTATGCAGGCTTAAAACGAACAGTGTTTCATCTAAAACTGTTGCCGTTTTAGATGGAGACAAAGAAACATTTTGTGAACAGATGTCAGAAATACAAAGACAGCATGGCTTTTCACTTTGCTTCCCTTTTTGAAATATTTAATGAAGTTTTACAATTCTCAAGATAACCTGCCATTAGATGTTGAGAAAAAGGAATTATACTGCAGATATACATAAAGAAAGAAAATGTGCCATGTGGACATCTTTGTTATACTGTACTGTTTTATTTGTACATCATGCAAAATACCTTAAAATTTTGCAGCAGCTCTACTCTGTCATACATGCCCAAAGGAGCCAACTACAAAGATCCATCTGTGCAGATCTTGGCCACAATAGTGGTTTGGCAAAAAAGCATTTAAGGGTCACAATCTTAGAAGACAAAAAAAAAAAAAAAAACATTAGGGAGATACAGTTGATTTGTTTATTCTGTGCCCAAAAACCTACAGAGTGGTAGACACCGAGACACATCAAGGACAATTTTCACACAATGGTAATCTACAACAGAGGCATTTAGTTGAACTTACAAGAGAAATTATTGTTATATCTGGACCATTGAAGAGCACTAGTTTACCACATACACAAGTGCTTCTATACTGTGTATGCCTTCGCCAGTTCCAATTTCCAGCTTATCATAAATAAAAAAAAAATAAATAAATAAAAACTTCTAGGCTGCATTTACTTTAAAAGAAATGGCATGGTAAAAAGAATTACTTTTGTTTTTTTCTGTGTGAGCTCTTTATTGTTGTAGAACAAACTTAAATTAGAAATGTTTGAAGCCAATTTTTGGCTTCAAACAGGGTGGACAGGGTTTTTTTTCAACTGTAAAAACCAAAGCACATTAACTACATACAGAAAAAATGAAGTGTATATATATATATATATATATATATATATATATATATATATATATATATATATATATATATATGTGTGTATATGTGCCCTCAATCACGGGTTGCACACTCCAACACCTTGCTTTCAAACAGAGACTGTAACATATCCCAATGTTTGCTTAACTTATCACTCATTTCAAAATCTTTATGCTGGTCAAACCGCAAAGAGATGGAGAGCACCTTCTCAAACAAGTTTGTTCAATCCATGAAATATCTGTGTTTTGTACAGTTAGTGCCATTGTTTATAGTGTATGTGTATTGGGATGAAAGGTCAAATATTTACTAGGTGATGTGTGTCAGTAGAGGTTGCATTTTGCAGTAACAACTATCTTTTTAATTATACCTAATGATTGCTTGCCCATTGTAGAGTAAAATGTTAATGTTTCACAAACAGTATTTGTTAGCCCAACTAATAAAAAAGTCTTACTCTCTGTAGTCTGCTGATCTTCTTTAGTACAGGAAGGAATGTCTGTACAGTATAGCAAATTATTGATAATTAATACTAATTCCCTGTCGCAAATTATTGTAATTCTTATGGGGCATACCGGTAATTTTCTTTGAAATCAGTGGCAGCTCTCTCACTTGGAGTTAAGACTATGCCACAGCACCGGATCTCTGCTTATTCAAAGTACCGTATCTCTGGTGAAATGCAAGGAAAATTAGCAATAGTGTGAAAGAAGTATACTGTAAGGTTTTGAAAAGACTGGTACTACAACATATTTGTAACTCCTGTGTAATACTCTTTGAAGTTTAGGAACCTCCAAGTATTACGTTACATACATGTACTGTTTACAACACAAAATTGTAATACTCAGGTATCCTGCAATACCTGTTAAAAAAATCCATGTCTGAGCAAATTAAACAATTTTTGTAACACAGCCTGCATTTGTTTCATTTTTCAAATTAGTAAATAATACCTTCATTAAACAACATAACAAAACATTATTTGAAATATGTACATTATGCTGATGACTTGAGTGGCTTCTTTCATTCATCTGCAATTTTCTGTGGATGGTAAGTTTATCATAAGCTTAGATGGCCAAACATTTTACACTAAGGTATACATGTGGGATTATAGCAAATGATTCCTATCCTGAGCTTTTGAATCAGTTCACCTTAGATCTCCAAGACAACATGAGGAAACTAGAACGTAGTTCATAACAATGACAACTGACAATCCAAAAAAAAAGTGATATTAAAAAAAAAAGCAAAACATCTAAGATTTTAGAAAGAGACCAGCTACAATCAGAAAAAGGGGGCAACAAATCAGATTTAATAAATAACAGCTGTATGTTTCCGTAAAGCAGTAAAACAATCTGACTGTTTTGTTTGCTTATTGTCTCATAAAGCATTCGTATATCAACGTTTAAAGTAATGTTTTCAGAGCTATCTAAAAATGCACATAAAAATAGGTCCCTAATTAAAAGCTATTTGCTCTGTGGGTCGGAGGTTTTCCATAATTTGTCTAAATATACATTGATAATTCACGCACCATGCAGGTTCTTAATCTTTTACATATATTACAAGAGTATTAGTTCTGTGACTGATGTGTTCCTTTGGGGAAAATCATGGCTTGAGTGAGCTACAGTTTAGAAATTAAAAACATGTTTCATTATATTTTATTTTTACATGATACCTTAGACAGTTTATTCATAATACAAGATGGTTAATAATGATCTATGATGCACAACAGACAAATTTAACATCTTGATTAAAAAGTGACACTGTACAGTAGCTTCCACAGTAAAACCACAGTGAAATCCCTTTTCTGACACTAACCCCCCACCAATATGTTACAGAAGTTTATTTCAAACAGGATGGCATTTCTAAGAGGCATAAAAAGACAAAGAAGTAGGAAACTGAGTAGGAAACTGAAAGACAAAAGTGAAACAGGGGCAGTTTTAAAATCATTATACAAAAGAACTAACAAGACCCCACTACCATTTATTCAATACTTATTTCTTGAGGAAAAAAAGGAAATCAATTTCTTTTTACATGTTGAGCAGTTCATTCCTCCGGTTTTCCAAAGGAGCTGGGAATTATGGACAGAAAGATGGAGAGGAGAGAGACATCACTCTTGCTCTGTGCAGCCCAGTATTTCTACACGCAAAGTGATCCTGCCGTACCAGGACCAGGGAAGGATCCGAATGAACCGAGCATAGATTGGGGGATCTATCACGTTCTTTCTGTGTGTGTCATTGTCAAAGTTCCCCTGGAATACCTGGAAAAGAAAGCAACAATTAATTTTATGTTCTCTACAATTTCTCCTATTCAGTAGTAGAAATGGAAATTTTTTGGATAACCTATGAGAATATTCGTTAGGAAGCCATACACTTCTAGTGTCTATTGAGCTCCAACTTATTTTATCTACTTTAAAAAATCCTGGTTTGGTGATGTTGGAATGCATGGGTTCTGGGATAATAACATCTCAAAATTTCATTTATTTTCACTATTATTATCAACACGTGCAGAATGAACCACAAGCAAAGCAAATATCATCAATAAAAATCTGTTTTATCATGAAAATAATCCAAACAGTGCAATTTAATCTGAAAAGAGCATTTTTGTTATTTTGATCAAAGCTTAATTACATTTTTTTAATATATTAGAGTTATAGAATAGGAAACAAAAATGGTTTTATAAAACAAAGACAGTCTGTAACTGGTAGAATCTGAAACAATAACAGCATCAAAGAATTTTCTAAGGCTACTATTACACTGCAGGCCTTAATGCTCAATTCCGTTTTTTTGTAAAATAATTTTTTTTTTGTGCCGTTGTTCACATTTCCAAATATATGCGACTTGTATGTGAACTCCAGCGTGAACTACATTCATGCAACTTAAGTGTCCGGCATGTGCAGTAGAGGGGGCAATGATGTCACAAGTGAGCATGCTCTGTGTTTACGGAAGTAAACATGGATGGTAGTGCTAGAGCGCATCCGCGATCTTAAGCAACCTCAGCTACAGTAGTGCATTAACAACACAATCTCTTCAAGATGGTTACAAATAAAGACTGCTCTCCGTATTACTGTCTACCATGGTTGTTAATTTTCTTCCAGCTTCCAGACGCAGAAAATTTACCTTTGTTGAGTATTAATAGCGAACAGGTTGGAGGAATGTGGTCAGGTCGCATTTGAAAAGATCATATACGTATCAGATTCAGGAATACATAGCCAAGTGGCTTGGGTCGCATTGGAAAAAATCTGATCTGTATTGTTCAGACTGTCGTGAAAAGATCAGATACAGGTAGCATGTGGCCAAAAAAAAAAAAAATCGGATTTCAGGCAACTGTGTAACCATATCAGATTTTCCTTTCAAATCACATAGATGTAATATAGCTGAAAGCAGCACATTTACAGTTATATAAAAAGGAATAAAAACCATCACCTTTTATCTTTCCTTCAAAATAGACTGTTATATATATTTTACCTGACATAGATTTTCATGATTTTTATAGCTCTGCTTAGGTGGTGATGGATAAGAGGTAGTTTATATCAGCAATTCTAATCCAAAAAAATGAAACTCATATAATATTGGTTCCTGACATACACAGTTATGTATTTCATAATTTTTCATTATGTGCAGGAAAATGCAAAAAGCTGTTTCTTATAACCTACTGTAAAGAAAAAGATGCATGTAAATTTTAATAGACAAGCATCCTTATATTAATATCCTTTACAGGAAAAGCAAGTCGCAGGAGGACATTGCTAAAGAAGATGGCTTGTCAGAAATTTTAATCTAAGCATTTGGACTAGAGATGGACTGATACATTGGCAGCTGATATTTTTAGCCATTATCAACATTTATTTTCTCTTAACATTATCAGCCCATATATGAATGCATTTGCCAATTTATTATTGTATTCATCAGCCATGCCTTGAGATCAAATGAAGGTCATACATTGCTGTTCTGCCGGTTTGCTATCCTTTTGCTCCTTTTTTGTTTCAGTTGAGACTTGTGTAACATTTTTTTTTTAATAATTGTATTACTATTTATTAGGAAATTAAGAGAAGAAAAAGCAGGAGACACGGTGGTGCAGGGGGTAGAACTGTTGCCTTAGCAAGAAGGTTTGAGGTTTGATTCCCATCCTGGGGTCTTTCTGCATGGAGTTTGCATGTTCACCCTGTTCTGCATGGGTTCTCTCCAGCTTCATCCCATAGTCCAAACACATGACCGTTAGGTTAATTGGCCTCTCTTACCCTTAGGTGTTTGTGTGTGTGTGCATGGTTGTGTGTCTCTGTGTTGTCCTGCGACAGACATGTAAGCTGTCCATGGTATACCATTGCTTTCACCCATGGACTGCCGAAGATAGGCAACACCATGACACGGACAGCATAACGTTAAAAGATGGATGGATGGAGGAAAAAAAAGCAATATAGGCTTCAAAAATTTGCCCCTTAATATCTGACAGCTTATATTGGAAATTGCTGATATAAAGAAAGAAATAGTATTAGTAATAGTAAAAGTATTTACTTCTTTACAAGAAGATGATAGACAGTAGATTCAGCTCTGCATCTGATTCAGCAGATCTCCAACTAAGCATAAAGTACTCAGTACATAGTACACTTTGATAATGTACTGTTTCATCAGTTTAATATCACTCTATGTATACAAATGACAATAAAGTTGTCCAAGTCTAACTAAATCCAAGAATGTCATCTTGTTGGATGTTAAATGTGCCTAAAGCAACATTTTAAGGTTTGACCATTTCCATATTGGATCATCACCCAGGGAAACAAGCTCTTTTGTTCATTATTAGGAGCTTTAAAATGTGCTTAATGACAGCTGGATGAAATAAATTCTAAGTAAATGCATCTGCACAGGGTGCTTCCTTCAAGAATCTGATAATGTCAATTTAACACTTATCATTATGCCTGTGTAATTGGGATGAAATAGGATTCAGTCTAGTGTGGAATAGAAAAGCGGTGGGATAAATCCAAACAGGTGCCGAAAACTGGGATTTACATATTTTGACTTCATTTTAGGCTAATTCCCTTTCAAATATTCATAAGAACTTGGCAGATTCTGTGTGGTTGGAGAGAATATTCACAAAGTGTGAAACACATCTTGCACTTCAACAGTCCAACTACAAAAAGAACAACAAAAATCCAAAATCGTATTTAAGTTGTCAAAAGAAGCTAGATGAGTTAAGGTGAATTATAAGCTGAGACAAAATTCCTAAAGGATTCATACAATTCCCTACAGGGGGGAATTGTGTGAATCCTGTAGCTGCTTTAGCTCATTCCCTACAGAAGGGAATTATATGAAGGTGGCAATTAAAAAGTATAATATATACTGTTGCATTAACACAGATGTTTTGTTAAAATTATTTCTATGTTGAAAAACGGTACAGTGTTCCTTTTCTGAAGGTACAAAAATACATATTTATAGTATATCCTTACTCATTCACTCAGATCAGAGTTTTCACTCTTTCAACATTTGAAAATATGAATTATGTTCTGAAAATCAAATGATAACATTTTACTATTTACATTTTATGATTACTCACAGTAAAGACTAATCTGGTGTAAATTTTTGTCTTCGGGAAACCAAAATAATTTGTTTTGGTGGATTTAAACTGCTGCAAGAGAGCTGATAAAAGTTAAAAGTGGAGATTATAGCTCTTACATTTGATATTATCTCTACTAGATCCCAATTGAATACAAAATTAAACTTATGAATAGCTGTGGTAAACCAAACCTATATTTTATGTTAAATACTTATACTGTATTATCAAAATCCCTGGTTTACCAGGGGGTTTAATCTCCAGTATAAAAATAGGAGGCAGATATCAGCTGCCTCTATTATAGAACCAACTCCCAATTTTTGTAGAAAGTCTGACTGCTTTTAATGCAAACTTTCTCATTGCTAGATTAGATTGGGTTACTTCTCTCCATAATAAGTCACTAAACAACTTTAAATCAGAGGCAATCAGACTTTCACTCCCCTTTTCGACCCTTATCCGGGAGTCATCGTGAATTCTGTCGGCCCACAATACACCAACCTGGAGTTGGGGCATTGATGTTATTAAGCACCTGGAGGACATCCTGCTCAGCACATTCCAAGTCAGATGCAAAGCAATTACCCATCCGCTGTTCTCCTGGTTGCTGGGGGTCTGTTGTTTTATATGGGTTTTGTTTTTAGCCATTTGAATAATGATGCTTGTGTGACTTGTTGGGACTGAGTCCCATTACAAAACCGCTGTACTGTTGCAGATCACCATAAAAAAAATCAGGAAAAAGCAATTAGTCTTCACATCAAACTATTTTATGTGACACTGAGCTGAAACACCGAACTGTTCTGAGCAGGCAGGCAGTAGGACGAGCAGCATCAAAGCCATTGTGCGGCACACTAAACAATGTGCATTTAGTGCCTGGTGGTGCAGACGTAACAGACCTAGATGCTCAACTGGAGGATCATACTTGCTACCAACTATCCCACATTTTTTTGTCCATCTGAAAAAAAGAACGGAAAACTTGGAAATATTTAACAAAAAGAAAAATTAGGAAATTCTCCACTGGACAGTACACTTAGAGTCTGCTCAGCATGTGCAATGGTCTGAGTATGTGGGAGCCTTTAACTGTCCTAACATTTGCAACTTCGGTTCTGCTAGTTTTGCCTGTTTTGAAGGTGACAATGGAGAAAAGATATATTTCCTCTCACGGTTGTGCTTGGTGTGTGTCTTGTCTTATCTGTGTTTCTAGAAGGCAGTCTCTCTGTTCTGAATTGGGATTATAAAAAATACTGAAGAGAATTAAATGTGATATGAAAGATGGTTCAGTTGTAAGATAACATTGGTAACATGATGTAAGAGTCAATAGAGTTCAAAGGCTTATACTTTAAAGTGGGTCTATAAATTTCAAGGCCTTCTCTAAGAAACTGTAAATGGTGTACACGTTTATATATTTGCTTGTGTTTGTTTGAACCAAAAAATTCTTTACCACCTTACTCTCATATTACTTTCATCAATTTCTTTCTTTGGTAAAACTATTTCAGTTGTGCCAGGCTCAGCCTGTTGTCAGACTATTTAAGTCTAAGCTAAAACTCATCATCTTATTGTGCTCTCTCGTTGTTTCTTCCTCTTTGTCCCTCATGCAGTTGCTCCTACACTGCTTAATACTGTATATTCAGGCTTTAGTCTTGCAGAAAATAAACTTATAATGTGGTATTCTTTGCAAATGTTGCCATATAGAATTTAGTTGATTCATTATTTGAATCCAAACTAATTTACGGTCTTTCATCGCCCTTTTTTAATGTAGCAAATAAAAGTGATAGTTTAGTGATAGTTTCACATATAGATTAGACACATAATTAAATAAAGTTTTTATGTTAACAGCACCTTTTTAAGTTGAGCATCATTACTTCTATGTTTATAAACTTACTGTTTACATTAGCTTCAATTATAAAGAGATGTGAACTTTGATACAATTGTTAGTGTTTAAACGGGTGCTAAATATTTTTTTTCTGTGTTCACTAAACAGCTAGGTAAGTTATCTATTTCCATTCGCTACAGATTGCTAAAAACGTATTCATTACTAGCATTGTAAAGGTCTACAGCCTCATAAGCCTACATTGTAACACGACAGCCTTATCAATAGCTACGTTTACATGGGCAAAATTTCCCTGATCCGATCCAAACCTTGGTTGATCGGAAATTCAAAATCTTTGTTTACATGGACACTAAATGAAATGATCCGATCATGACGTGTGTATACATGTACCAAGCGTTGGATCAGATTAAATCTTTTAAGCATGCGCAGAACTTCCTGCCAAACTTGGCAGTTCTGTCTGCGTCTGGTTTTTGGGAGGCCTGACAAACGATGCGCTCGGAGCGAGCGGAAAGAAAAAAGGAGAGAGGAGGAAAAAAGCGCTTGGCAGCGAAATGTACGAGAGAAAATGTAGAGAATGAGCGACTGAACCGGCGTGGGAGAGCGAGTGGGCTGTGGAGAGAGAAAAGAGGAAGAGGATAAATTCCTGCTTCCTGCAGCTTTAAATGAACTTGAGTGTATAAGTCGGCGTTCCTAGACTCCCCCCGCTATGTTGTTCACAGCGAGAGCGACCGGTGGTTTCCTGTTGTTGACAAGGCGGAAAAACGTCACGCTGACGTCGCACACATGCGCAGTGAAGATTATTTTACTCTTAAGATCCGAATGGGTGTTTACATGGACGCCAATCGGAATGGCGATCGGCAAAAACCACCTCTCTCATTCGGAATTAAATTTAGCTATGGCTATGCTTTGCACACATAACAATGACACTGGCCAAACCAGTTAAAAAACAAAAATAATTCTCAGCAGCTGCACCTGTTACAAAAAAGTCTGAAACTGAAAAATGCAGAGAATTATTCAATCACACAGTTTTCAGAAAGTGCATTTTCCTCTATTCTGCACTTTAGATGGCTGTATCGATACTTTTGAAAATGAGTATTGTATCCGGATACAACGTTTCAGTATCGATACTTTTTTGAGTATCGATACTTTTGATAAAGGACATATCAATGGCTTGCCAGCAGTAACACCTCCAGATCACTAAAATGTGACCTAAATAAGGTCCTTTTCTAAACTGTCGGGAGATGTGCACTTCCGGCTCCTGATTTTCCTAGCTCATACAGTATGAATCACAGAATGAAGAACAGGCTTTGTACACTTCTGGGATAAAAAACAGTAGAACCAACACTCCATTATTTAAACCCTTGGTGAGGTCAAGGGATCAGATTCTCCCAATCGTTTTACCCTCTAGTCTGTTTCTGCCTGACATGTCTATGGTGTAACAAACTCAATTTCATCAACAGTTGCCTGCCATCTAGGCCAAGTGTTTCATTCATCAAACACACATGCAAGTGCCTCTTAAGTGTTTTGTTTTGACATGTACTGAGGCTTAGGATCATTGGAACCCAAATATAACCATCGGAGCATAATTGCGTAATTTTATTCATAGTTACCCTCTAACCTGGAGAAAACTGATGGCTCTAATGGCTAATTAACCCTAATGCCACCCATGAAACACTGTTTAACACAATTCAGTTACTTTTTTTCCTTGGTTGTTTCCATTGTCAAGCTATCCAAGTCCAGTCATAAAAGAGCACCATTGCAGTTCTACTGTAGTGAATACATTAAACTAAGTTTAGGAAGTTTACGGACAGTAGATAGCATAATTTTGCAATGTTTAAATAGTGGACAGAGCTGTTACCTGTCTCGGCTATAAGTGTGGCTTTATTTGATTTATTTGCATAGAGATGGATAACATGCAACTCTATAGATTTTGCAGAGGGACGTTGTGTGTGTGTGCTGCTGAGGCCTGCTTTGACAACATCTGTATTCCGACAGAGCCTCCTCTCTCAATCTAGATCTAACTGCCTGCAGCCTCTGCCACACAGGAGCCGAAGGGAAAAGCTGAGAAGAATACTTACAAGCCTACACTGGTGTGCTGGAGCTAGACACTAAGCCACACACACAGGCACACGTGCGAGGCCAGTATATTCCTGCCAAGTCAAGCATTGTGTAGTGCCAGGAGGAGCCTCCGGAGGCCAACAGAAAAATGTGTCCTCCAGCATTAATGGCTGCTTTAGCTGACTGACAGAAGAAAACATCTTCAGAAATCATACAGTTAAACAGCCACTTGGCTCTCAGATGTCTTAGTAAACATACATGTCCCATTATAGAGAGAGATACTCTAAGTATCATACTTTCAGCTTCAAATAGTTAAATATTGAACCTTAAATTGATCGACATGGAAAATACATTTTTTTATAGTTAGCTTTATGTGCATGCAGGAATCATCAGAAATTTGTCAGTCATTGAGAAATTCTACTTTCTGCATGTAAATAAATCATTCCATCATTACATAAAGTACTGTCCAACAGGCACCCTTATCAGCAAGCCGAACTACCTCAGTTGACTACTTTTTAGGTGAATGAGCAACAATGTTGCTCTTTTGGTTATGATCCAAATCTTGTGGCCATAGAATTAGGTAACATAAATATAGAGGCAATGGGCCACATGCAAAAACCATTTATATAGACAAATTTGTCTTAAATAATTTCAAAAATGTTAAAAAAGCAATCCACTGGACTTTGTTTCCAAGTCTGAAGACGTTTTCAGTTCAAAATGTCAGAATCGGCGTTGAGTTCAAGGCTTCACAGAGTGGACTTAAACAACACCATGTTTTGGCTTGGAAAACATGCTAATTGAACCGGATACTGTAAATATGTCTGAAGAAGATTATGTCCCTTAGGAATGGGGAGTCGTTGGGTTCTTTGTTAGCCTGTGGCTCTTGGAATGAGTTTGGAATTTATATAATACGGATGACTGAGACTCTTCACCAGCGTATTGTTCTTAAATCATTCATATGAATGATTTAGGAGAAAATGTCACATTCAACATTTTCCTCTAATTTCTAATCTTCTGTCAGGTATGAACAAATCTTAGGAGTGCTCCATACTTGACGCAGGAGTCAGTTAATCAGTAATCCAAATCTAGTTTTTCACTGCAGTAAAATGACTCAATTTTTTTGTGCTATCTATTTAATTATGTTACATCATAATGTATTAAGTAACTCTGCAATTATAAATTACATTTTTATATGCTGATGACAGAACTACCGGTCACTACACCTGCAGCTGGCATGTCAGTAATCAGGAGAGAGTGGATTAAGTGAACTGAAAATGGATAGAAAGTGCAGCAACAAAGTAAGACATGCATTCAGTTCACTCCATGGCAGCTCCTCCATTGGCTTTGTTATTACACTAAATATGGAATGTTCAGGTATGGGTCTGTCTGCATTTCTCCAATTCGAGTTTCACCGTTAACACTTTGTGTTTTTGCATAAGAGAGATGGAGAGTGTGATGAAGGGATGGCAGATGTAAAGTAAACATGTGCGTGTTTATCAAAAGGAGATTTTGCAGAGTGTTTTTGACACCAGAAATTATTTAGCCTACCAAATATAGCTCTCAAGCTGTCTTTGGCACTTGTGATATTGCACATATTGATACTTGGATGATGATTATGATTTAGAATACTCTGCAGCACTATTCCTCTATTAGTTTCCAAATCTAACAAAATAATTAATATTCTAAGATATGAAAATTTAGCAGTGCGGATGTTTGAAAAGTAAACTGCAATTACACTTTAAATAACTCAAACTAATAAAATATAATGTAATTACATTTAAGCGTGCATATTTTGAGCTTTAATCCCTGCAGGCATTGCATCAAGATCAAAAATAATTAAATCATTTAATAACGCAGATACACACATAACCTCCTGCCAATGTGCAAAGACAACAAGCTGGAGGTTCAGTAGGAGCCCTTTGACTGCACGTTTCAGGATATTAGTAGAGAGGCTGCTGCAGCTCTCTGTTTATGTAGATGACTGAGATAGACATGAACTCTTCTGAAGGACCGTGAACAGGTCTGTGAGAATAGCACTGTCTCAGCTAGGCTGACAGCAGGGTCTTATCTAATCCCAAGCCTATCAGAGGACAGACCAGAGATGTTCTGTTCAATCCAAAGATAAGAGGATGCAAAAGTGTAGTGAAGAAAAGGAGATAGCTTCCCAAATAGATATCCTCAAGGCTAATGCCTCTTCTTTAAGTTTTTTATTAAGAATTTTTCATGCCAAATGTATCTCTTCATGCTATGGTTTCAGGCTGCTAACAATATCAACTGAAGACTTTCTTGTTTGTACTTCTGTTATAAATATTTCAAATCAACTGTTCTCAGAGTACCTACAGCCATAATACTCCATTAGGTTTTCTTTGTTCCTTTTGGTGCTGACAGTCAAGGTGTGTTGATGAAGACACATAATGGTCATTCATATGCAGAGGAAAAAACACAACTTACCTTGTCTTTTCCCTGTTTCTGATCTTGATACACATTCCACCGCTCTCCATCGTTACTGTAAGCTACTTTGTATGAGCCAACAAACTGGACGTGGCCAAAGTCTTTAGCTCCCTGTGTGATGATCCCTGTAACCTTGGTAGGCACAAGCAGATCCACCTAGGAGAAGCAAAGGGTACAGAAAAAAAAAGAAAAAGAGAAGGGAAAAGAAAAAAAAGAATGATGAATTTCAAAGCTGGAAAACTTCAACAAGTTAAAATGCGGTCTGATGTGTGCAAGTCTAACAATACAGTCAGTATCTTTTTACTTCCCTTCAATGTCATCTGTATACCTACAGAGTAAAGACATTTGGTGCAGTTCAAGTGAGTTTCAATTATTCACAGAATATTGAACAACAAGGCTAAGTCCACAGCCTGGCCTAAGCAAAACAGAAACTGCATGCAGCAGCAACTTCTCAGACCCACGCTACACCATCTGGGTTAATTTTTAATGGGGTCTCATTTGCTACAAACAATTTACCATCCAAAGTTTCTTAGCCTTGTAAAAACGTCTGTTTTGTAGATTAAATTAAACTTTTCACTAATGGTTGTTTCAACATAAAATAATGTATCAAAGCTAGTCTAAGAATTAAACTGTATAAAATGCTTAACATGTACAAGAACTTGCTACATTCTTAGTACCAAAGCCCAAATAGTCTTCCTACTATGTTAAATTAAATAATTGCAAATGTATTATGCATAATATACATAACAATTCCCCTGAAATATATCAGCAAAACAAAAATGACTGCTAACATCAACATTAGTGGTTAATTTCCTATACTGGACAACTGTAGCATTTTATAGCAACACTTATTCTTGTATCGAAGGCAGTTGTAAATGTGTGGCATTTATGTATTTTTTGTGACTAAGATCAATTGTAAAGTGATTTAGTTATGTATATTTCTATGTGACAAAATATTCCTTCCTTTTTAGTACAGTACATCACAGGAAAAGGTTATTTCTTTTATATAGTGCAATATTCAACTTTCCATACTTGCATAGTGAAAAATTTACCATTCCGATGAGTAAAAACTCTAGAAATAATGATGTAGTTGTCATGGTGTCTCTGATGAGGGGCTATTTTTTTTATAAAAGTCATATGACATATCCTAAATAATTAATAGGACAACTTGGTGATGTTGATAGCACAAATGCCACTGTAAAGCTGTCTAACCTATCAGACCCTTTAGAGCAGCACGAATTTGCCACCAACAAAAGATGAAAAACTAGCTGTGACAAATACAGTGGGAAAATTTAGAGGCACAGACAGAGAGAGGTGCGAGAGAAACAAAAGGAAACAGATTCTGTTTTTCTTTTGCTGAATATGCTGAATAAATACTGGGACAACAATGCATCAAACTAATAGGCCTGGTCATGAGCCAAAACATTCTACGCCATGTTCACACACGCTTAAAAGCAAAAACAAAAAAAAAGTAAGAAAGGGCTTATGTAAGCAAAGATACTAATATTTGATGAACTCATGTTTTTCAGGTATTGGCATAATGCACTGAACAATGGAACCATCAAACTGTTCACAATAAGTTAAGTTTTCATTTTCCATATATAAAGTTTTAGCAATGCATCAGAGGACCACTGTCTGTTATTGAAGACGGAAGATTATGGGTTCTCTCTTAAATGTTGACCTCCTGCTGTGTGTATAAGGGGATACAAGATGGAATATTTTTAATCTTTAAAATGCACCCATATTATTCTGCATTCAACTCTGCATTTGCAAGAAGCAAACCCACTCAAAGTAGAAGAACAGCTTGCTTGTGGACACCTAATCATGCTGTCATTAAAGCTATGCAGTTATGCAGATGCCGCACGGCATATATACATGCTTCATTTAATGCGAATTTGCTATTCATGGAGTTTTCCCAGCAAATAAATTCTTCATATGCCTTAATTTGCAAATGCAAAGCTCATTTCTGTTTTGTCTGTGGCAGCAGGGAAAGGAACATTTTTACTATGATGTATACCAATACATTAAGGCAACAGCTCTCTTACAATAATAATGTCAACACAAAACCCTGGAATAAAGGAGAGAGGAGTAGGAGATACCGTTAAGTTGATTCTAAGGGGTATGACACCTCGCATCAGGAGGCTTTGATTATGCTCCAGTTGCCGAGCAGAGAGGTAATCTCATTCCAGCCGAGCAAGTCAAGTCTGCCACAAAAACAAAGGCACACTTGAAGTGAAACCTGTAATTGCTGTCACAAGTAGCGGTCAAAAAATACGACCGCCCCTAGCTACACCAGCTCTCAGCACTTTGATGGCCCAAACTGAATTATGGAGAGAGATAAGCCTGTTAAAACAAGGTCTTTGCTTCGGCTCCATTCCTTCTTCTGTTCTTTCTTCCATCACACTCTCTATCCAAGTTAGTCCTCTGTGAGCTTTTAACCCAAACAAACTGGTTTTAAGTGCTTGTGGCACAGATGTTCTAAAAATATCAAACAAGAATTATGAAATAAGCTCAAGATTATCCTTTTTGTTCTTGAAATCATTAAATAGGTTTAATTTTAGTTTATATCTGTAGGGTAAACTGACCTTCGGTTCTACCTTTTTATCTCCAAAGATTATCTTCACTCCTGCCCCCATCAAATAGCCTGCTAGATTTTATTATGCAGTGATAAATGAGATCTATTTGAGCCCAAACAAAGCTTCTGTCTGATCTACCGGCTATGTGGAAGTTGTGTGTTTCTGTGCTTCACCTCTACAGGGTGTTACCTACAGGTGATTTTGTACAGCTGCAGCCCATCAAGGCCAATCAGAGCGAGCTTAAGCAGAGAATATTCCCCCGAGGGAGTAATCAGGCCTCCTATCTGCCTGTGATCTTCATATGTCTTTTTTGCTTACCTACTTGTTGACTCTATGAAGGGTCTCTACCCACAGTATAATCCTGGGAAAACAAGTCTCCTAGGAATCTGCTCCCCTGGATCCAAAGTCAGTACTCATCCTTTATCAACCAATACCACTTCCCATCCACCCTCCAACATTCCACCAACATCCCTATCTCCTTCTGGTAAACAAACAAAGAAGCGTTAGCTCTCTTCACCGCTCAACACAATGTACCAAATTCAGTCTCTCTGGGTTCTTAGATCATGATTATCTCTATAAATGGTAAGAAAGTACCCTTATTACCAATGAACATGAGTTCTTAAACTATTATTCTTCTGCAAACAACTTCCTCTTCCTAATTCCTTCCTGAATCTCTTCCTTAGGCCCAGAAGAAATCTTTGGTCTTACAAAAACACCAACATGACATGCTTTCACCTTGAAGTAGTATCTCATATCCAAGTTAAACGTTAACAGACACAAAAATCCAAACATGGAGCAAGACCACTGGCGCTGGGGTCCGTTTCACAAAGCAGATTTAACAAACTCTGATTCAACTCTGCAACTCTAAATTGATCTAGCCTAAAGTTGGAACTGTGAGTTTTTGGTTTCACAACAGCTGCTATGAATTAGTTCTCCAAGTAGAACCACTCAGAGTTTAGCACATGCCTAACAAGTATGAAAAGCCATTATGAGTGGAGAATCGATTGCACCATGACAAGAGGCAAAAGGAAGAACCTATTTCACCCCACTGGGACGAGATGCAGAAATGCAGAAATGAAAAAGTAAAAAAGATGTGTTTAAGAGAAACAGTGCTACAACTGCAAAGAAGAAGAAGATGGCAAAGGATAAGATTGTTACTCAAGTTAATATGTAAGTTTATATGAAGTGAACTATGGCAGGCCATTTATTATAAGCACTCTCCTCTCTAATGTTCCATTGGTATATTTCCCAAAATACTATACTTCTTGATAAAAATCATTTTGCGGTTAACCTGCTTCGTGAAACTGACCCCTGTTCTGTTCATAGTTTATCTTTTTGAGACAAGAAATCATAGTACTTTATTTGTCAAGCTGTGTCTTTAAGACAAATATATGTTTGAGAAGGGAATTTGTATAACCCTGTATATATATAGTATATCTCTGATCCCATAATCAGAATACTTAGAAGTTCCTCCCAGCACTTTAGATTTTTTTTAAACATGCTGAGGTGAATGCAGATGGGCTTTCTTAAAAGGCCTGTCAATTGTATACTTGAACTTATCTTACTTCAACTTCTAAAGGATTTTGCTTCAAATGTATTGGCCTTCAAGCAAAGTAAACATAGGTTATCCTCTTGACATGTGAGTTACACAGACTGATAATAAAAGACATGAGAATATATATATTAATAAGGATAACTTGATGTGGTGTCCCAAATAAGCCAGTTGCATTATCAAGTGAAACTATTGGCTTTAGGATGTCAGTAAGAGCTGATGAATCCAACGACTCTGTTCAAGACAGGTTTGTTTTTTTAAATATGTTTTACAGTACTCTATATTTGCAATCCCTAAAGATAAAAAATATTGTAAGTTTCTTTCCTTGAAGAACAAAGAGCTGTGCTGATTTTGCTCCGTATGTCTAAGAATCATTAAATCATTAGGAGGAATGCTGGTACGTAATACAGATTTTCTGAACATTCTCACAGGGCAAAATTCAGAGATGCATGCATAAAACTGGCAGTGAAATAAGGAGGAAGGCGATATGGTACATCAACTCCATATCAGTGTGATGATCATTACAGCTTAAAGCTATGGAAAAAAAGATAAAAACACCCTTATTCAATAATTCTTTTTTCTTTAGGAAGTTTAAATGAACCTATATCAGGTCGATTTACCTAATAATATAATGGCATTCTTTACATTCTTTGTATTGTTTGTGTGGGTTTATATTTAGCTTCAGTGCAAATCTTCTACCGCATTATAACAGCCGTCTTAAACTATCTTCATTATAATGCCTAACACATCAGAAGAGCTCATGAGCATGCATGATTCTCATTGAATAATAATGTTCCTTTAGTGTGGCAAGCACATATAGAGTCCAACATGCATAGCTTTAGCCTGAGTGTTTCTTTCATTCTAGCTTTTACTTTAGATATCCAAAAGAATCTCCTGAAACCAATTTCACAAGCTAAATGTACAGTACAAGAGTAATTGGAACTGTTCCAGTTAGTCTTCCTGCTCCAACCTTTGCAAATTTTAATAAAACTAATAAAAATCAGAATTCATCAACAGTATATAGGAAA